ATCGCTCCGAGTTTTTGGATGTTTGTGTTATGCTTTTAATCTTAAGTCCAAAGGAGACAAATTTATTAGTCGGAGCCGAAAATGTGTGTTTGTTGGTTATGTCTTTGGAAAGAAAGGGTGGCTTGTATTTGATCTAGAGACTCAAGAATATTTTGTGTCTCGTGATGTCAAATTCTTTGAACAAATATTTCCATTTGCATCTGCCTCAGTTGTTGAGGATGTCCCTCACTTGCCGACGGAGCCTCAGCCGCCCGATTTGCCTATGGATTACACCGATCCATTCTCCTTTGGATTTCCTACACTCGATGTAATTTCCCCATCAACTCAGGAGAATAAAACGTCACAGTTAGCTGGACCTACTAATGATGACTCCAGTACCACGATGGACGCACAGATTATTTCCCAGCAGCAGTCAGATGTTATCTTGGGACGTGGTCAACGTACACGCACCCCCTCGGTTCGCCTCAGAGACTATGTCACGCACACCATCATTAAACACAGTCCATTCCCCACTCTTCCCGCTTCGTCATCCTCTTCAGGTATGCCGTTCCCTATATCTCACTATATTACTTGTGATTCATTTTCTTCGAAACATCAAGCTTACTTGGCAGCTCTTAATTCCGTTACGGAGCCATGCTCCTTTAATGATGCTGTTAAACATGATGGATGGCGTGATGCTATGCGTGCCGAGATTCAAGCTCTTGAAAATAATTCCACCTGGAGTCTTGTTCCTTTGCCTCCCGGCAAACGTGCATTGGGTTGTCGGTGGGTTTATAAAGTGAAACACAAATCTGACGGCACAGTTGAGCGTCTCAAAGCTCGCCTTGTTATTTTTGGGAATAGGCAGGTTGCTGGCCTTGATTATACAGAAACATTTGCTCCTGTTGCTAAAATGGTGACTGTGCGCGCTTTCCTGGCTATAGCCGCTACTAAACATTGGGAACTACATCAAATGGATGTTCACAATGCTTTTCTACATGGCGACTTACATGAGGAGGTCTATATGACTATTCCCCCAGGCTACAAAACTGCTGATTCCGGACTGGTCTGTCGTCTTCATAAATCCTTATATGGCCTCAAACAGGCTCCGCGATGTTGGTTCGCGAAATTGGTAACGGCTCTCAAGAGTTATGGTTTTCTTCAGTCTTATGCGGATTATTCCTTATTTACTCTTACTCGGGGGGCGGTTCAGCTTAATGTTCTTGTTTATGTGGACGATCTTCTTATCTCTGGCAATGATGGTGTTGCTATTACTACTTTCAAATCGTATCTTAATGATTGTTTTCACATGAAGGATTTGGGCCCTCTCAAGTATTTCTTGGGCATCGAAGTGGCTCGTAGCTCGACTGGAATTTTTCTTAACCAGCGAAAATACGCCCTGGACATTATCACTGAAACAGGTCTTCTGGGAGCAAAACCTGCTTCTTTTCCCATCGAGCAGCATCATTCCTTGGCCACCGCTACTGGTCCACCTCTTGAGGATCCTGAACAGTATCGTCGTCTTGTTGGACGACTTATTTACTTGGCTGTCACTCGTCCTGACATCACCTACTCAGTACACATTCTCTCTCAATTCATGCAACAACCCCTCACTGACCATTGGCATGCTGCCTTGCGAGTTGTTCGCTATCAAAAAGGTTCGCCTGGCCAAGGAATTCTTCTTCGTGCTGATAGTGATCTTTCTCTTACTGGTTGGTGTGATTCTGATTGGGCAGCTTGCCCTACTACCCGTAGATCACTCTCTGGCTGGCTTGTTTTTCTTGGTCACTCACCCATCTCCTGGAAAACCAAGAAACAATCCACTGTTGCTCGTTCTTCCGCTGAAGCTGAATACCGCTCTATGGCAGCAGCCACTTGTGAATTAAAATGGCTAAAAGCTCTTCTTCTGAGTCTTGGAGTTCAGCACCCTCAGGCTATTCCTCTCTATTGTGATAGTCAATCTGCTCTTCACATAGCTCAAAATCCTGTGTTTCACGAGCGTATCAAACATATCGAGGTTGACTGTCACTTTGTTCGTGATGCTGTTCAAGCCGAGATCATTGCTCCCAATTACGTTCCTACTACCATTCAACTGGCAGATATATTTACTAAAGCTCTTGGCAAGACTCAGTTTCAGACTCTCCTACACAAGTTGGGCATTCTGAATCCCCATGCTCCAACTTGAGGGGGGGTATTGGGAGATATTTTGCATATTTATTATTTAAGGATAGTTTTTTATTATGGTTGGAATATTTTCTACATTTAATGTTTGTTATTTCTAGCCATGTAATACGGATGACCGACTCAATTAGATTGGCATCCACTCTTGTATTTAAACAAGGCCGATTGGCTCTCAAAACGATGAAGCAATATTACTCTTAAACTCTTCTTCCTAATTTTCCTAACCTGCGTATTACACGAAGTTAATAAGACGTACACCATTTTTTTTTAAGTAGCTATCTGAAGTAAGTGTAAAAGGAGTTTTTGAAATAGGAATATTATATATTTATGGAGAAATTAATTATAAGAATAATCCCTACTTTGATCGGTTAGTGACTTTTGACTTGAAGTTTTAGTATTATTCCGTTTATCTCCTATTTTCGACTAATCAGTAATCACCCGTCCCCTCTTCATCTTATTACTTTCCCCCCCTCTGCATGACTGCATCTTATATTTGGTGTAAGGAGAATTTGTCCATACTTTATTACTAGCTCGTTTTCCCCTTTATTTTCCTTCTTCACTAGTCTTTGATGATTTTATACGAGGAATTTTCACAATTGGTAGAAATAATGATGGGATCACTTAAAAAGGTATGATGATGTAGAAAAGGGAAGAAGTATATGAGTGATGTAATTAAGGTAGGAAGAAAAAAGGAAAATACAAGTGGAATTAAAAAAGAAACTTAAGCAAAAAATTAATAAGATCTTTTATAAAAGGGAACTAGTCCGAAGAAAAATCCAACAAATAAAATAAGGGTTTTTTATAAGAATATTACTAAAATAAAATTTATTTACATAAATATGACTATTCATTACTTGTTGTGGTAACTAAAGTTCAAAACTTGAACATGAATTACTATGATTTCATTACTACTCTAGTAACTAATCATATTTTTGTAAATCATCTTTATTTTGGTCATATTTATGCAATTATTTCATAAAATAAGAGGGTTTTCCATAAATGTTACCGAAATATAACTAATAACAAAAATATTACTCTAGTTACTATGCATAGTCACTATAGTGTTAAAGTTGAATACAATAATAGTCAGTAAAGTTACTATGGTAGCCACTAAGTCATATATTTATCCACTATTTTTATTTCAGTCATATATTTGTCATTATTTCATAAAATAATAAGCTCGAAGAAGAAGAAGAATGAAAAAATAGATTACACAACCGTAGAAAAGAAATACGGAATAAAAACACAAGAAAACCAAAAAAGAGAATAAAAACGTCAAAAGGATGGGAATAAATAGAAAAAAAAAATTAGCGAAAAGGAGGAAAATGATATGCAAGATTATGGGGTGTTTGGCAAATGGTTGTCGGCTATTAGTTGTTAGCTGATTGAGTTGGCTGATTAATGACAACTGATTCCGTTGCTTGATTTGATCAGTTGATTGTATTAGCAATTTATATAGTAGTGTTTGGTTAAGTGGTTGCTTATAATTGGCTAATAACTTGTTAAATGACTTTTAAGGACATCAATTTTTTTGTTAAAGATATTTATACAACCACTTAAAACATTTTTAATTTTGCGATTGGTTTTTTCGATGATTTTTTATTTACGATTTAAAAAATGTAATAAATCACTTCCCGAAATTTTAAATTTTAAACCATTGTGAAAGTAAAAGAAATCCAAGTTATCCATTTATTGTGTTTCTTTTAATTCTCACCACTATCCCTATTAAAGCATTCAAAAGCAAAACAAACTAGCACAAAGGTTAGTTAGAATTCCCCATAAAGCAAATATCTCCTCCATACTCAAGATCTGCTCCTCGACATCATAAGCTAAGGCTGGAGAGCAGAAGTGCAGAACCTACACTTGGACTTTTGATTATGGGAAGAAGCCAGGGTTTGCAATTGTTGTCTTCAATCTTGTATTTTATCTTCAAGTTTGAAGAATTTTTATTTTGTTGCTTCTAAATACTAATTGCTCCTAAATACATGTGTGTATTTTGAGATTGTTGATTTTTAGTTAATTGTGGAAAAATGAAGTAGGATGTTTGGTCCAATTTCACGACTCCAAAGGAAAAATCTGCGTTTGCATTTGGGAGCACAAATGAATAGCTTGCTGCTGATTTTTTTTTCTTTTTGAAATGAATAGCTCTGGGTAGAATAGGGATATCGGCCAAATAATCAAACAATTGTCTCCTAAACGTCACTTTTATAAGCATTTTCAACTTCGGCTGTTTGGGAGAAAAAGTCAAGTGAAAAAGTTAATTAATAACCCATCACCTCTATTAGCTGTTTATCTGATCAAAAGGCCAAATAGTAGTCAAATCATCCAAAAAATGGCTGATAGTCCACTAACCAAGCACCCCTTATAGATCATAGTTATAATCTGACTAGTAACCCTAAAATTACCAACATTTCACATGCAAAGTACCACTATTAAATTTTTTTTGGATGAAATGTAAATTTTATTAGCACTCAAGAAAAATAACATATCACAATGTGTCGAAAAAACCCCCCAAAACAATCTATCTAAGGTTGTCAAGATCACTAACCTGGATAATCAAAATCAGAACATAAGACTTGCACGGGACAGGCCCCAGCTAAGTTCAAAACATTAGCAAAAACAATCTCAAACCAAGCGATCTACTAGATAATACCCGTATTATCTTTTATTTTTCTTTCCTTTCGCCTTCCATACTTCATCAAGCTTTCTTAAGTCAAATTTGAAAGGTAACCTCTCATTTTCATGACTTTCCTCTTCGTCTTCCTCTTCAAAAGTCTCCCAACCCTCTTCTTTATCATCGCCCAAAACAGGCTCTTCTCTATTCAATTTGCTAGTAGGAGCCTTAGTAGAAGTTGTATTCTGCCTGGCAGCCTTAGCAAGGGTTTCTGAAGGTACCACAGGCTTGGCATTCTTCTTGCCCTTCTTCCTTTGTACTTCAACAAATTCACCAGCCGGATCCTTAGGTTCCTGCACAACAATGGTCTTTGTCGTGGCCTGCTTACTGGCTGTAGCAGCCTCCAATTCTGCTGGTACAACTTTGGCCTTTGTTGAGGGCTCCTTGGTGATCTTGTTAGACTCAACTTCTTCCGGTTCTCTGCTTTCTGCCCTTTCTTTGGCTGCCAGTACACTACAAACAAACGGATGGTGTCCATATTGCTTGCAATGGAAGCAATAATTCGGGAATGTTTCATATAATACCCGCTGCTCAATGGTTTTCCCTGAAGATATCCGGATTGGAAAAGAGAGAGGGGGTGGCTTTGTGACGTCCACTTCAACCAATACCCTAGCGAAGTTGTGGTTTGCCTTTTCAAGTGTTACCTTATCAGTTGCGAGCGGAATTCCAACCTTGGATGCAACCTCGATTATAATATCCTCATTCCACAATCTCAATGGGAGCCTTGGGAATTTTACCCCAAATTGTCACCTTCAAAAACTCATCATCTTCGAAAGAAAAATCTTGAGATAAAACCTTTAAAATCAGTAGCTTTCCATATACTCCCTCCGTCCCGTAATTAAGTTCCTATTTCCTTTTTGGGATGGTCCATATTAAAGTTCCTACTTCAAACATTTCCTTATTTGGCAAATGATTTACACCAAAACAGTGCCAAACAATGCCAAACAGTGTCAAACAGTGTTTAAACAGTGTCAAACAGTGTTCAAACAATGCACTCTACAGTAAAGTCAAATTTATTTCTTAATATGTGTGAAGTCAAACTAGGAACTTAATTAAGAACCGGAGGGAGTAGTACATACGGCCCCTCAATCATAACCTTTGTCCTATGGGCTTCACTTTGGAACTTAAACACAGCCCAACCCTTGTCATGGGTTTGGACCTTACAGTGCACCCCCCATCTTTCTGTAAAGCCATAGATTGCCTTTAAGCCCGGAAACCTTCCCGTAAAACAACCCACAAGGCAGTAGCCCCAAACATCAACTATTGAAGGTAGCACACGATTTGAGAAGTCAAGAATGTCACCAGTTGGAGGAATGTACCTCAGTTTTAGCCCTACAGATGGGGCTCGGTTGTCCCTAAACAGTGCAGACCATTGCTTCTTTTTTTTCGATAATATGTAAGTATATTAGAGACCGAAAAAATAACAATTCAATGTTACAAGCAAAGTGCATATCCCAGTAAATAGGATACCACAAAATCAAACATTCCCTCCTCACAAATCAACATTTTAGACCCAAATACAGTAGGATCATAAATAAAGTTCACACAAAAAATCAAGCTACTACAACAGAATATTAGGAGTTCCTAATCTAAAGTCCAAAGAAAGCTCGGAAAGGATAAGTGAACTTTGAGTCGAAACAAACCTCACCTTTTTTCTTAGTAACTCCCGGCATCCCCTCGAGACAATTGGCTGTGAAAGTAAGGCCTTTTCTATCCAAATCGTCTGTAAGTCGAAGGGAGGTATCCACTCTAATCACACTCGCGTGCACGAACTTAAATGGTTTCACAGCTAGCTTGAGTGTCTTACCGTTTATGACCGCACATTTGATGACAACGTCATTTAACTTCAAATCTTTTTCATGCATCACAACCCTTTCGGCATCTTCCAAACCGGCCTCGGAAACCTTATCAACAGTTTTGGATGGCGGGACAACATTGGGAGCGCGAGCCGCACCCCCGGCAGAAGCTGCAGAAGCAGGTTGCCGCTGGAACCCGGGCGGGTTTTGGGAAGACCCGGGCGGGTTTGGGATCTGTGCAGTACATTTCCCCTGTGACCCGGTCGGGTAAGGAGGCAGCCCGGGCGGGTCAGTCCCCAGGGCAGTTTCTGCCCGAGCAGTAGCAGCATCAACCTCATCAATTTTTTTTTCTGCAACATCAAATTTTTCCTTTTCTATGTTTAGCAGACCATTGCTTCTTTGGTGTATTTGTTGTGGACGTATTTGTAGTCCCTAGTGTTTCAGAACTAGCCTCACTGGTAACCTCCTCATCACTGCTGATAGCTTGGCCAGCATTGAAACTGACCCTCGGAAGCAAGGAAAAAGCTTGCACGCCCCCCCCCCACCCCCACCCCCCGACCAGACTGTCTGGGTTTGCAGGGACGATGAACAGTACCCATAAGATCCAAAGTGCTCAGAAAAATAAAATAAAAATACCTGGAGGTGCTCCTGACGTAGGCGACCCCCAGACTGTATTTATTTTTGAGCTTCTGATCCCGGATCTGCCCGAAACAATTCCTCAAAAGCGTTGACTTTGGAACTGTGAACAGTGCGCGACACCTGGAAGCGGCAATCAACACCAAATCAGCTCAAAGCTACACCAATAGCTTCGTTTCTTGATCGCGACCTCCATACCATGCTCCAAATCCAGCTTGAATCGTCAGTTTTTGAGCAGAAATCAAAAGGGTATGTGCAGGTGAACAGTAATTTTCGGAAATGACAGTTCATTCCTTGCTAAAATCGGCCTTCAAAACCCAAATAACTCACAAATCCAAGCACGACTAAGCATTTAGGAATGATTCCTACCTTAGATCGAGCAAATACAAGCCAAAAATTCGAAAAAGAACTCAATCCATGGCCAAGAAACTAGAGTCGTAAAACTGCCATGAACAGTGATTTACGATTTTAGGGAGAGAGGCTCTCAACTTGACCAGTACCATTATTAATTGGTACTTGGACAAGTATGATTGGTTTTCTTTAACTCTTTATAGTTTATACCTTGCGTTTACAACATTTCCCAGCTTATTACAAAATAAAAACATTACTATTAAAATGATAGTAATAATAATAATAATTTGTATTATTATAAAAACCCACTTTTACGCAATATTCAAAGTATCTACGTAATATATTTATAAAATATATGTCAAGATCATATACAAAAACATTATGTTCAATTCCGATATCGTTTTAAATTTTGTGGTTTTTTTTTTAATATTTTTGTGCCCCATTATAAATACACATTATAAATTTAATGTTTAATCAACATTATTCTTGTTTCGTTGACCACACTAGCTCTCCGATCTCAATTTGAGTTAATTGGCCCTTACGCGATTACTTTCCTTGGCTGACACTTCATTATAAGAGCATCTACAATGCTACAATGTGCACGATGCACATGTGTCATGAGAGATATATACACAAATGATTGATTTTATGACATTTCTCTCTCCGTCTTTCCACGGTCTTATGTGTTTTTGGTAAGTTTTTCTCTGCAATGTCAACCCCAATGTCTACATCTAGACATTGTGCTTCACATTGTGAAGAAAAACTTACCAAAATGATATAAAATCCTTCAAATAAGGAGAGAGATATTTTATTTATTGTTTTTTGATTGGCTATCTCCCATGCCACGTATGCACCATTAACGTTTTAGCATTAGAGATTCTCTAATGATTGTTATGCTAATTGTTTATCCAATTCAAAGTTACGTTATGATTTAATTTACGGAGTACTACGTAGTAGACTTATTAATTTAGTTAATTACGGAGTATTAGATATGTAAATTTTTGTTATAAGTATTGAAATACTCCCTCCGTCCCAAAACAAGTTATTTATTGCTTTTTACACATATTATTGAAATAAACTTATTGGGGTAAATTTTACTGTTTTTACATTGTTTGGACACTATTTGACACTATTTTGATCTAGATAATTTGCCAGATAAGGAAAGTGGAACTTAATTCAGGGACTGTTCAAAAAGGAAAGAGGAAACTTGTTTCAGGGACGGAGGGAGTGTGAAATGTTTTCTTAACATTAAAACGTTTGACAAGAAATGACCCCTGTGTTTTGTTATTACTATGGCAACATTTGAGGATGTGTTTACTTTGGACTCTTTTCAGTCCCAAATCAGACCAGATCAGACTAGACCAGTTCAGATCAGATTTGGATAGTTATAAAAATACAAATAGACCAGACATTATCAGACCAAATCAGACCAATTCAGACCAGATTAGACCATCAAATTACAGTCCAAGTAAAAACATCCTGAATGTATCCGCATACTAATTACGGAGTACGTACTTCGTAGTTCGTACATATGAAATCAAACAGTTTTTCTCAAATATTTTTTACTCAGTAGTCTAGTATGCATGAGGATGGATCATGCCCGGGTCGGGATTTTTTTTAAATTTTTTGTTTTTCTTATTTATTCCTACCCCCACCCCCCAAACCACCCAAGCACCCAACCCCACCCCCGAAACCACCCAAGCACCCAGCCCCACCCGCCTGGCACCCAATCCATTCAGTAAAAAAAACACATTTTGATGGCCGCGCCTAGCACCCAAGGCCCGGACCGGTCCCGTCCAGCCGGGTAGGGCCGTTACCGCACAATGGCGGTATGGACCAGGTACCGAAATGAATGTCAACATGCATTAGTAATGTCATATTGATGGTAGTTTTAATGAAAATTTTGGCATTCTCAAAGAGTAAAATTCCTTGTTCCTAGCATTTGGTTACAAAAAATGGCATTTTTTCAACAATCGGATGTGATGGTGCCAGGAGGCGGTAGAGGATGTGGGAAAGACATACATATTTTTAATACTCCCTCCGTTTCCGAAAGAAGTTCCTATTTTCCTTATTTGGATGTCCCTAATTTAAGTTCTCATTTCCCTAAATGCAAAGTTATCTACATCAAAATAGTGCAAAACAGTGTCAAACAGTACCAAACAATGTCGAAACAGTGTCAAAACAGTAAAATTTACCCCCTGGTAAGCTTACTTGCATAAAAGTGTGTGAAAGTCAAATGAGGAACTTCTTTCGGGGACGGAGGTAGTTTTTTTTATGGGTTTTACTATTTTTATTAGATTTTTTTTATTGTTTCATTTTTTAAAATTTAAATTTTATGAATATTTTATAATTTTTTTCTTATTGATATTTTTTAAGAATATTG